CCTCAGCGCGCCCGGGCCCCTGCAGCGACGCTAGGGCGGAGGGGCTGTGGGAAGGCGAGGGTGGGAGGGGGGACGTGGCGGGACGGGGGGCGTGGCCAGGCCGCGAGGGGCGTGGCCAGGCCGCGTGGGCCGGGGCTCCTCCTAGAGAGGCGGGACTGGGGTCTGGGCTGTGGATCCTGGCGGGACGGGGGGCGTGGCCAGACCGCGAGGGGCGTGGCCAGGCCGCGTGGGCCGGGGCTCCTCCTAGAGAGGCGGGACTGGGGTCTGGGCTGTGGATCCCGTTGGGGCGGGCGACGTGGCAAGCTGGTGTTGGTGCTGGTGCTGGTTGCTGGTGCACGCGTGGTGGCATCACGGGTTCCCCGCCACTTTCCTTCCCCACAAATAAGCAGTGTTACAGCTTTTCCTTCATCACGTGGTCAAAAACAATAGCGTGGCCAAAGCCCTGCTGGGTTCTTTTTCCAGTCCCAGGAGCTGCGCAGGAGCGCCCTTTCAAGGTCTGATTACACTGTGGGCTGGTTAATGGTAGATCAAGTCTCTGGAATTTGTCTGCCTAGGCTGGTCTCAAACTTCAACCCTCAGATCTCCACCTCCTAAGTAGCTAGGGTTATAGAAACAAGCCGCACCAGCACCCAGCACTCTTACATCTTCTCCCTACCTCGTTATCTGTTTGCTTCCAAAATCTCTGAACAAGACCCTTAGCTAGTTCGCCCAGTTACTAGCCATTTGCCAAATCTAAGTTTGTAGTATTTGGACCAATTTGAAGAGTATTGCGGAAATTGGAGTCATGGCTCAAGTGAAAGAGCCTCAGCTATGAGCAAAGTAGCCAAATGGGAATGAAGAGCAAAAGAACCTGAGTTCAAGCCTCAATATGGGCACCAGAAAGAGAGAGGGAGAGGGAGGAGTAAGGGAGAGGGAGGGAGAGAGGAGAGAGAAAAAGGAAGGAAGCAAGAAAAGAAAGAAGGGAAGGAGAAAGAAAAGAAGAATGTCATGTTCATTTGGTAATGTGTTAATAGCTACTGAAACCAAACATTTTCAATAATTAAATGCCTAGTAGCATTTTTCTGACTTACATAACATTTTAATTCAGGGACCTTAGTCAGTGGCTACAGAAGTCAACTATAGAAGATTAGATGTTTTAGGTTCTATAAGAAAAAAAGTTTTGAGCACGATCTTTTTGGATACTAGTATTTAGAAGAGTATTAAGGAACCTTATGTAATGAGGGACTTTGTTTCTCTGTTTTCTTACCCTCCTTTCTTCACTTGAGTCATGTTGAAGCTTTTGATTCTTCAGTTTCCTTTAGAAAACTTAGGAATATTGTTATTCTCGACCTCTCTATACTCATTGGTTCAACTATAGTATGATTTGCTCCTAAATCAGCAGTGGATTTTCTATTATTTCACTTGATTTTTTTCCTTGTTCCAACATAATGGTATTTCCCCAGAATTCCCACTTCATTAAGTACATCTTTAATATTGAAACATGATGGCCCTATTCTTATAAAAATAAGTTGCACACTACATTTTTACCAGGATCTCTTTAGTCATTTAAAAAGAAAAAAGAAAATGTTAACCTCAATAATGACTAGAGCAAATAGAAAAAAAATATGGAAGTCATATAGGGATTGGTGTGGTAATTCACTATTGTTTGGTTAAATGATGAACAAAATTGTGTCTGCTTTATGTAAAGTGGTCTGAAAGGACATGAGAGACTCTCAATCTGTAGGGAAAACAAAAATAATGATATTAACATATCCAGATAGTTCTTCCACTGGTAAATAGGTGTTGGTTTTTAAAAAAAATAACAATCACTTGCTAAGAAACGTTCAAAAAAGTGACTGTATACTAGCTGATGTAATGGCATTAAGGCATGTATGTGTTCATTCGTTCCATAATTCATTCTTTCATCAAATATTTATGAAGTGATTATGTCCAGGCACTATGAGTAGTGAAGGAGATAAGCATGCTCCTCCCTTTTGTGCAAGTCATGAATTTTTTAGAACAGCTATATCAGCCTCCACAGGAAACTTGTCAGCAAAGATTCTTAAGCTCCATCTTGAGAGGTGAGGCTCAGCAGTTTGTGTAGTAGGAAGCCCATTCAGATGATTTCAATACACAGTCAAGTTTAAGAACTCTAGAAGGAGGAATTTATGGAAGTGGGAGAATTTGAACAGAATCCTTTAACTGAGAGATTAAGAAGGTTAAGGAAAAGAGAGACTTCTGTGAAAGAACCGGAAAACATTTAATCACAAACTATCCTAGCAAGGTTTCCTTCTCAACCTTTCCTGCCTCCTGCCTCCTGGTCAGTGCCTTAGTTCAGGTCCTAATCATATTTTTCTCAGCCTTACTCTTCCCTGTGTCCATTCCCACACCTTTCCTATTTACCCTGTATACTACCAAAGTCTGGATCTTCATCTATCTGAGCATGTGTTTTCTATGGCTCCCACGTCCACATTCTAAAGTCAAATGGTGTTAGGATCCAAGAAGGTAACTTAATTCTATGAAGTAGCTTGTTCAGACTGAAGTAGGAAAGGCTGATGAAGGCAATTAATTTATCAGGTCCTTTCCAGGGGAGTTTAGAGTCAGTAAAATATTTTATTCTCCAAATTAGACCAGAACTGCTAGCATATATTATTCAGACTACAGGATCAAATCTAAAGGCCTTGTTATAACAGCCAAATCTTTCATGATCTTCCCCCAACCCCTACTCTTATGCTTTTACTTTTTTGTCCCATATCAAACTTGACATTGGCCATGTTGAAACTTTGTTTCCAGGTCTCTCTTCTCTTCCTAATCCTGGATGTCCTTCCCCAGTTAGTTTACTAGATGAGGAGGTACTAGTTTCTAAAATGCAATTCAAGAATCACTTCCTTGAAACCTTTCCTGACTTAAGAGTAAGGCCACACTGATTCCTTGTCACCTTGGGCTACAATGATATACTAATTTTTACTGTTTTTTCTTCAATAACATTTGTTTCAGTAGGTTATATATATTAGTTTCCATGGCTATCTCCCTCTATTACACTATGAACTTTTTTGGTACTCTACTTTTCAGCATGAAGTGGGAGAAACATGAATATTTGTTGAAAATACATGACAAATATAGAGATAAGAAAAATTATAGTCCGTCAAGATACAGTGAACCTGGTGTGCAGCTCAGTGTTAGAGTACTTGCCTCTTGTGTTTGAGAAGTGGTTTGGGTTTGATTCCCAGCATCACATTAAAATAAAAAAGTGGAGCTGGGAAGGTGGCTCTGTGGTAAAGCGCTCGCCTTGCATGCTCAAAGCCCTGGGTTCCATTCCTCAGCAACACATAAGCAAAAAGAAAAAAGCCGGAAGTGGCGCTGTGGCTCAAGTGGTAGAGCGCTAGCCTTGAGCTGAAGAGCTGAGGGACAACGCCCAGGCCCAGAGTTC